GTACAGTTCACTGGGCAGAGAGGGATATCAGACAAGGGAGGCATAGGTAGTTGTCAATATTGCTTACCCTTTCGCTGTCCTTTTCGAAAGGATTGGCGTTGACGAGGCAGGGTTTGAGGTCGGTACGACGCCATCAGAGGTTGAGGGGCAGGTTAGGGACCTGTCAGGTTGATGGGGGCGATATTGTCTATAAGATTGGAACCTTTGATTTTGGTATTGTTTAGGATGATATTGGCCCGAACGGTAGAAGGGCCGTTGATAGGAAGAAGACGGCTGGGCAGAATAAGAGTGTGTGGTCTTACGCTTCTTATGGAAGTCTTCCATGGTGTCATCGGTTGTGGAGTTGAACAGGCCGGCACTGTCAAAAGGCAAATCCTCAATTCTCAACTTGGTGTCATCAGAGATTGTGGAGGATTTAAGCCAGGCATGGCATCGAATGGAAATAGAGGTGACTAGAGTTTTAGAAGCGGCCTCAGCAGAGTGTTGCGCCGCAATCCTCTGATACTTGGCGAGAGAAATAGCTTGTGAATGGATGTAGATGAGGTCGGATATCATGGGTTCAGGAGATGATTCAATGAAAGGAAGGACTTGATTCCAAAGATGATGCTGAAAAACGCTCATAGTTGCTTGGTAACTGATGCTTCTGAGTAAGAAGGCTTGTAGAGAGTAAATTTGTTTGGCAATTTGTTTGGTCAACTTTCCTGCCATCCTTATTGGCAAGGGTAGGTTTGGACTTAGCCTGAGTTCGAGCCTGACTAGACTTGACGATGATAGAATTAGGCACTGGATGTTTGTTGAGGAATTCGGCATCTGCACCATGGGTCCTATAGAGGCCATCGGTGCGGCGAGAGATCTGCATGATTGAAGGGGTTTTTCCCTAAGTGTCCTTGGAACAGGATGCTCCTGATTAATGTCATCGAACACCGGGTCGGCATCAGCAGACGGGGGTTGTTCAGTGTCGAGATTTAGGGCATGTGCCATTTGGAAGATGAGAGTTGAATAGGAGGAAAAGTCTGGAGACGAAGGGTAATCTGATGGCCTTCCATCGGGGGAGCTTGATGCCCTTGGGGTGGCAAGTCTTCAAAAGGGCCCTGAGATGTTACCGGGTCCGGCATCGAGGGTGCAGGACGCACTGGTAGGGCCTCGCGAACCTTGTCTCGCATCCGCTTAGATGGGACGAGGGGGCGAATGGGCGGAGCCGAAACTGTCGGGGCCAAGGCAGTGGCACAGAGGCGGCTTGGGTCCACAAAGGGAATGGCATGGGGGAGTTCCGGCGTCATTTTTGGCCATTTAGACTGCTCAGGCTGAAACCTCTCGTACCAGAATTGCCACATGAAGGGGTCAAAATGGTATGGTACCATTGGAAAAGGGCATAAGTCGCCTTGCGATGGGACTGACCTCGGTGGAGAAAGGTGCTTTCGTTTCTCCGTTCTCTTCCATGGAGGAGAAGGGGGAACCTCCAGATCGGATGCCGAGCTTTCAGCTGCCAGCCCTGAGTCAGGGTTGGAATGGGCTGAGGCTGGGCTGGACTGTGGCGCAGCGGCATTGAGGCCAATGCTCGGAGTTTGGGGCGGCATCGTGGGGGGTACACCATCATGGGCATCGTCTCTGTCCAAGGCTAAATCAGGGGCTTCGCTGGATGATTCCTCAAGGATAGGGGAAGGCAGAGAAGGCTGAGGGGGCTCCACTCTGGGAAGTTTGTCCTTTCTGGGCCTCTTAGGGACAGGTTTAGGTTTTTTCTTCGAGCTGGGATCCTGAGCTCGAGACTTCTGAGAAGAGAGCAACTTGTGCTTACCAGACGATTTTGCTCTTTCAGCAGTGTCCTTAACTGGTAGCACGGAGGTAGAATCAGAGGTAGACTGGCCCGCTGGAAGTCTATCGGCTGAAAGGGCAAGAGATCTAGCCGCTTCCGAAGACAAAGTAGGAGGATTCATGGCTGTTTGCCAAAGGTAAGACGGAAGTCTTTGGAGCCTCTGTTTAAGTGCCGGCTTGGTTAAATTTTTACAAGCAGGGCACAAATGGGTAGGATGTTCCTCACCCAAACAAAAAAGGCACTGATTATGACCGTCAGAAAGTGCTATTTTATTCACACAGGTCGTACACCTTTTAAAATGAGACGGTGAGGCCATAAGCAACGAACTAGGGAAGGGGGGAGGGGAAAAAGAGAAAAAGGGAACAAAAAGACCGTGGGGAGCCGATTAGGCAAACAAAAGACGCAGAGGATCACTAAGTAGGTAATTAAAACAAACAAAAGCTCAAAGGAGCCTAGAAAACTAGCCAAAAGGCAACTAGCGAAGTGCTCAATCTTTCCTGAGAACCGTTCAGCTCGGCAGAAAAAAGGAACTGGGGAAAATGGTGGGTGGGAGAAGCATATACCTTGTGGAGGATCACACCATAAATTTGTTACTTTTAGCTCTAGAATCTTCCGAGAGAGTCAGCACAGGCGCAGACAATACCCATATGTGTGCATTCACAGAGGCCACGAAAAATATATATATATAAGAAGAACCCTATACCAGATGGAATTGATTGATTGATTGATTGATTGATTGATTGATTGATTGATTGATTGATTGATTGATTGATTTATTTATTTATTTATTTATTTATTTATTTATTTATTTATTAAATTTATTCCCCGCCCCTCTAGACCATGTCTACTTGGGGCGGCTAGATATGGATAGATATATAGATATACAGATATAGATAGATAGAGAGATTCATTCCTATTCCAACAATAATCTTCTCAAGCATTTAATGTCTATTATTTATATATATACACACACACACATATATATACATCTACAGATAGATAGATAGATAGATAGAGAGAGAGAGAGAGAGAGAGAGAGAGAGAATCTCCCTCTAATTTCCTTCAGTTCATCCCTATTCCAACAATAATCTTCTCAAGCATTTAATGTCTATTATATAAAGTCACAGGCAGGCTAGAGATGGAAAAGTTATTTCTCACTTTCAGTTTCTTTACTGTGTGACACAAGATTTAAAAAAAAGCTAGGACTTTAAATGCAGAATATATATAGTCTATAGTTCTTTAGTAAATAAAGCTGTCCAGTACGAATCCGTTCATTTGCCATCTTTCCTTTAAGTACCCTTTTATTGTCTTATTATTTTATTACTTTATTTATGGTTATTGACAAACAAATCTCCTTTGCCACTATCTGGCTGGTCTCAGCTTTCTTCCATGACTGGCTGCTTGTTAAACAAGCACCTTGGGCTCCAAACATAGACACAGTCAAATAGTCAAAGCAAAATCTGTCTGTGCTGCTTATAAAGGCTCAAAGGTCAGTTACTCATAGTCTAGAGGTCTAAGAGATCGTATCTGTATCTACATCCCTCTGTGGCGAAGTTTGCAGCTACCTTGCCATCATGGTGTCTTCCAGAAGGAGACTCTCACAAAAAATCGCACTGCTGTCTGAGATTTGGAGTCTCCCGGCCCCCCTGCACATCAAGGCTTTGCTCTCCTGCAATGTCTTGCCCCCTTTTCATTTCTGGGGGTCTGCAGACCAGAGATTACAGAGGTTTTTCACCAGAACCCTGGGTTTCCCTCTGCTCTTGCTGCTGTACCTCTGCCCCAACATGAATTCTATATTTCCAAGATTCACTAATGAATCTTTCATTTGAAGTACGACACTTAACTGATTTTTCAGAGTGATATGACCAGAGCTGTAATGCTGCATGGAGCAGCCAGAGCCATAGTCATGCTCACTATGAGCATCCAAAATATAGGTTCATATATTTTTTATTTTACCACTTGAAAAGTGGTACATAATATCCGATTTGTTAGGATCTGCATGTCTACAACCCTATGAATTACCTGAGAGTAAATGTAAACTTCTCAGAAAATAGAACTGTAAATATTCCCCCAAAAGTTTTTAAATTGCTAATCCAAAATATAAAAACCAAGCAGAGAAACTGAAAGGAATATTGTTCCTCTTGGTTATTTCCCCCTGTGGCGTTTGCCCAGGTCATGATTATTCATATGCTATTTGCATAGACCATAGAGTGCTGGAGGGGCGGAATAACAAAGTACAGTATAAGAGACTCGGCAGGAGGAGGAAGAGTGGAGATAGGCAGCGATAGGGTTCTAGAGATAGGGAGCTTGAGGGAGAGTTGAAGGGTTTGGTGTAGTTTTAGAGTTTGGGCAGGAGAACGGTAGTTGAGGGTGGATAACGAAGAATGTTTGTTTAAGAGTTAACAATATTGCTTGTTCTGTCAACATTTGTATCAATAAACAATTTCTATTTGGTTCTTTTAAAATGACATATGGCCTGGACATCTATCATTCATGATAGGTATTGATGATGAAATCAACTGGTGGCAGCTGATGGGCATGCAGAGTGAGCTCCTAGTTTGGTGAAACTATCAGGGGCCACGTGGAATCATGACACCCCCCCTAATTATTTGACTTCCTCTATTTCCAATACAATAGTAACGTGAAAGTCTTGTTGTCTTTCCAGTGAGCTGGCAGAGTAAATAGGGTCTATCCATTATTGAGGTCCACCTGTAAAAAACAGCATCCTTTTTGCTCTGACAAATTCCTACATCTGTAACCCATATATCCCTCCATCTCTACACCACTGAATAGGGCTAGTGAGTCAAGAAAAATGTGACTATACATACCCCATTGTGCAAAGAGCAATCGTTTAATGTAAGTTTTGTCATGCATCCTGGCAAGCATGTAAATTCTTGCTGTTTCTGATGGGAAAAGCAACTCTTCTTGCCATTTCTGAGAAGATGCTTTCACAGAAATAATGGTGCCACAAAAATGCACCCCTCGCAAGCTTTTCCAAAGTTTTAAAAAACAATTGACTAAACTATACAAAAAGTGAGCATTATGCAAAAGCAGCCATGTAACTAAGAGGGAAGTGGGGAGTATACCTGCTAAAAGAGGCTATGCACTAACTTTAAGAAGGCAGTTGAATAGAGCTAGAAAAGGTACACAGAAGATACTGCATAGTTCTCCATCTCCAGCTTCTCACCTTGCTGTCCTTTTGGTCCTGGAGGACCAGGAAGTCCTTTGGGGCCAATTGGGCCTGAAGGGCCAGGTATGCCTGGTTCACCTTTCAACATTTGGAAAGCTCCTGGAGGACCTGGAGGACCTGGAAAGCCTGTCAGAAATAAAGAGATAAACAGTGGTAGTCAAAGCGGGCCCAACATTATATTTTATCAACATTAAAGAGAGGGAATTAAAATACAAACAATGATGTTCTTAAGACAAGTTCCTTAGAATTGTCTATAAAGTTAAGACTCTCCTTACTTCCTTATTTAATGGGATTTCATTAAAACAACCTTTTCAAAATCATAAATGAAGGGGAATCCAGATCAAAGTATATCTTACAAATGGTTGTCTAATTTTCTCTTGAATGCCTCCAGTGATGAGGTAATTAGTTCTGAGGTAATTAGTTCTAATCACCTCCTGAGGTAGTTAGTTCTATTATCATACTGCTTTGACAGTTCGAAGGCCTCCTGTAATTTGAACCCATTCTTACACTGATCAAGCATGCCATTAAAACCAATGACAGGTAAAGTGAACAGCATTCATTATATCGTTACAATGGCACCTCTCAAGGAGTGGGATATATTAGGCAGCAAGTGAACAGTCAGTTTTTGAATTTCATGGGTTGGAAGCACGAAATATGGGCAAGCAAAAATATCTGAATGACTTTGACAAGGGCCAAGTATGACTGAGTCAGAGCACCACAAAAATGGCAAGAGTGCCCATGATGACTCGTGTCCATCGCCAATAACGCTTACAGTGGGGACATGGAGCAATGGAAGATGGTTGCTTGCTCTGATAGCCGAGCGTGTGTGCGTCATTTACTTGGGGAAGAGTTGGCGGTAGGATGCACTATGGGAAGAAGTTTGGCTGGCAGAGGGAATATTATGCTCTGGGCAAGATTCTGGTGGGAAACCTTGGGTTCTGGCATTCATATGAATGTGACTTTGATACAAACCACCTGTTTAGAGATTGTTGCAGACCACATACACCCCCCTTCATGGCAATAGTGTTCCCTGATGACAGTGGCTTCTTTCAGCAGGAAATTCCACACTGTCATACTACAAAAAATGTTCAGGAATAGTTTGAGGAACATTACATGGTTCAGGATGTTGTCTTGGCCTCCAAATTCCCCAGATCCCACCTGTAACTTTTCATTAGTTGCATGGAAGGATTTTAAAGTATATGTTCATACCTTTTTCTTCATAAATGTAAGACTTTTACAACTGCTCTGCAGGAACACAGAGTCAAGCACTGAGTAGATAAATAAAACTTATCAAATTAAACAAGCTGAAGTTGTCTGGAATTATTGCAACAATGAAAGGATTTATATTTTGATACTCAGATGAATATTTGATATGCCTGCTTTCATTCTGGGCGTAACCCTTTGCTGAGATTAAATGCCAGCTGTGTCGAGCACAAGTTTCTGATTTTTCCCTGGAGATCTATGGAGTTTCTAGGGACAGTCAAGCACCAAGGTCCCGGGTCTGACACTCTTAAGTATTTTTGTGGTCTTTTTTGCTGTTTTCTGTTTTTTTTCCTTATTGGAATTATTTGTAATTGTGCCTTTAGAATTTTATTTTTCAAAAACTACCATCTGTCTTGGACTCTTTTTCTTGATAGGATCTCCTGCCATGGGAAAAAATCTAAAGGTAAAATTTATAATGGCATACCTTTTGCTCCTGGATACCCTTGATCACCTTGTTCTCCCTTGGGTCCAGGGAATCCTGAAGAACCTCTTGGACCTAGAGTGGAAGTAATCATTCAGACTGTAAATATGTGAAATTCTTCTTTCACTTGAATTACACTCTACTTGGTCCAAACAGTCAGGTCTCCCAGATATTTTAAATTTTTTAGTTCAGTACTTCCTGAATTTGCTTTCCTTCACATTTATGAGGAAATGCACTGTGCTGAGCTATTATCAAATCCCAGTATCAGAGCAAATGTTCCTCATTACATTGTTGACAATTACTAACAGCAATTGCTTTGGCTGATTGTTTCCAGTCACTTAATACATGGAAGATGATATTAATTTTTATTTTGAGACAAAGGTCTAAGAATTTCTATGTACCATTTCAACCCTTGCAGCTGCAACTATTTTTATGTCTATATAAATTATAATTATATTACTAATGGAGCTATAAATTCTCCAGTGACTTTATAAGTTATGCAACAAGTTAAAAAACCTATTTGAACAAATATATGTTTTTCCCATCATACAAAACTCCAACAAGGACAGTGTCTCTGCTTCTTGCTATGCTTTCATACCTTGAGGACCTGGAATCCCAGGAGGTCCCATGTCTCCCTTTTGACCAGCAGGTCCAAGGAAGCCAGCAATGCCCTGTGTAAAACAGAACAGCTCTTAGGTGTAGCAGTGAATCAGCTCTGAAAAGTGATGGATAGATATGTGATCAGGAACCCTGGGGAGGTGAGGACTACCATACGACCTTGCCTCTCCTGGTTCATAAAAGCTGTGAGAAAGGGACTGGTCAAGTGGGTAGGAGAGGGGTGAACACCTCCTTGCAACAGGGTAGGATCCCAGCATACTTTAAAGGATGCCTTCCCAGTTGGCAAAGCCGTTTAAATGAACCTCATCATATTGCTCAGATGAAACACCATTCATGTTCAAGAATTTCATCAGAAAAGACAAAACATATTCGATAATGTTACTGGAACCAACCTGTTTAATACATAATCAAGCCAACGGAATAACCCAACTAATGCCATTAGCAACTGTCACATACAGCACTGATGGTACCTGTCTGTCATGGGTTTGGAGGGAAAGTTCCATCCTATGGGGAGTGGAAGGCGGGACATCAGGGGGGAGGAGCTGTACTGTATATATTTGGGGGAAGTCCTTCGTAAGAGAGCGGACGTGGAGAAGTGGAGTTGGAGTCTGTGGGTCAGACTGGGTACAACTGTTCGTCAGATAGTACATACCTGATAGATTCAGGTTTCTATCTAGGTAGCCAGAACGGATAGGTTCAGGGTCTGTGCGTTACCTTAAAGTGTTCCGTGGGAACCAATCTGTTGTATGTGTATGATTGGGACTATACCAAGTTCCAGTATCCTACTTACCTGATCCTTTCATTTACCCTGTTTGTTTTTCAATAAACCTTGTTCTCTTGTTTATTAAAATCCATTCCTGGTCTGGGTGACTTGGGAGAGCGAATGGTTGGTGGCAGCATAACTACAGGGTGGGATACTCCAGTAGGTCTGGGGTTGCTACATTTATTGGTGTCCAGCGCGTGGGATACTACTGGTCCAGTTGCCCAGTGGTCCAGCAAAGCCTTGGCTAGTGTGCCCAGAGCAAAGGGGGGGGTCTAGTCAGGGAAAATCTGAGGGCGCGTAGGTAATCTTCTAGGCTTACCTCACGGGGAGGTAGGCTAGTGGAAGAACGTGCAAACTCAGATTGGGGGACTAGATTAGGGAGCTCTGAGGCAACCCGTTTTGGCGGGAAAGGGCTGAGGCAAAGCTGCGTGAAGTAACAGTGATCTAGCCTGTCTGCTGAGAGGCCTAGCAGAGGGGGTGAATTCTGTCTGGCAACAGTTGCAAGTGGGTGCTGGAGGGACAGCAACAGTCTATAGAAGGCTGTTTCTGAGGCAAAAGGAAAAAAGTCGTCGTTTTATTTTGAGGCGTGACTTTTGAAGGCAGCCTGGTCTGGGGGGATTATGCCCTTGACTCGAAGCCAAATGGCAGAAATGGGGGAAGTGAGAGAACCACAGGGAGACCAAGGTTCTGAGGAGGAATTTGGCTCAGTGCAGGATGAGAGCACGGGAGAACTGACCTCAGAACTCAGAAAAATGCTCCTAGCCCAACAGCATGAACTGAGGGTGAGGGAAATGGAGGAAAGGGAAAGGGAGAAACAAAGACAATTTGAAATGGAAAGGGAAGAGAAACAGAGACAGTTGGAGTTAGAAAGAATGGCGTTTGAGCTGAAGAAGCTGGAAATAATGAGTAGAAATAGGAATAACAATAATAATGAGGGGAACCCAGGGAATGGGGAAGGCAGCCTGTCTAAAACTGACCTGAAGAAATTCCCTGTGTACCACAAGGGAGATTGCCCTGAGGTGTTCTTTTCCCTCGTGGAAAGAGCGTTTGTGGACTTCTCAGTAAGGGAAACTGAGAAGATGACCATTATGCGATCTTTAATCAGTGGCAGCCTGGCAGAAGTCTATGCAGAGATGCCAGTGGAACTGCTGAAAGACTTCGCTGAGTTTAAAAAACTGGTGTTTGCCCGGCATGGGATAAATGCTGAACAGCTGAGGCAAAAATTCAGGTCACTCACAAAAAAACCAGAGCAGACTTTTACCCAAGTGGGGGCCCAACTGGTGAGGTTGCTAGAGAAATGGCTGTCTCAGGAGGGGACAGAGACCTTCCAGCAACTCAAAGACCTGATAGCGCTGGAACAATTTTATTCAGTCCTGCATGGGGAACTAAAGTTCCAGGTGAGGGAGAGGAAACCGAAATCGGTGACAGAAGCGGCAGAGATCGCAGATTTTATTTCCCAAATAAGGAAGCCCTTAGGTGCTGAGGGGAAAACTGTGGGTAAGCCCAAAGAAACCTACAGCAGGTACTCTCAGGGACCAGGGAAAAACCAGCAAGGGGGAGGGGCCCATGTTGAAGGGAAGCCCTCTGACATGAAACCACCAAGACCTCAGATTTTGGAGGGAAAACCAAAACCAGATGAGAAAGACTCCAAATACAGCAGAAAATGTTATTTCTGTCAAGGAAAGGGCCATCTAATCTCAGAGTGTGAGAAATTAAAGCAACTAAAGGGAAATTTGCCTCATGATTTGAGTGGAACCAAGCAAAAAGCTGTGTTCTGTGTCCAGACAGAGCAAAGCTCCTTGCCAATGAGGGAGCCTGTTACCATGGCGACTCACTCT